TGTTGTATTTAACAGAAGGCATTCAGAGAGAGGAACAAAACAGTTAGTTTGCAAATTCAAGACCTGTATTTGTAGGAAACAATTGGCACATAAAACACTTTCCATGGGTAGATCACTTTCATAGTACAGACTTTAAAAAAAACAACAAAAAACTTGGCCCTTCAAAATGTACAAATAGCAAGTCAACAAAAACTATTATTTTACATTCTGAAATTGTACAATATTGTGGAGCTGTCTTTTGCCAATTAGTCTCTATAACTTGGATTAAAATAAGGAATGGCCCCTTGAGAAATGGCACCACAATAGAGAGAGACATGGGACAACAGAACATGCATTATCTACCGTGCTGTTATTCCCAGTGCATTGTTAGATAGACTTGTTGGGTTTGGCCTACCATGACCAGAGTGGATAAAAATTGATTAAATAAAAATCTTGTTTAAAAAATATATATACGTGTGTGTATATATATAAAATTAATCTGCTTAAAATTAAATTTGAAATAACATAAATAGACAAGATGCTGCATTAGCAATTCCTCAAATTTTAATGAGTTAAAGAGTGCTGCTGCTTTTTTTTGAATTACATACGGAATCGGAGTGAAACATCTCAAACTTTTGAGGTTAACTCAAGCTTTATAAATATGTCACAATGTCATGCACTGCATTAAGTATACGATTTTCAATCTTTACAATGCGGCAAATGCTGGTATTTACATTTTTCCAAATATAAGTACTGTACTTTCAGTTTTTGTTGTGCAGAAGGGGTTTGCCTTAATTCAAGGGTTCCCTGAGCGGGTTGCGAGGTTATTACATGGGGCATCGTGAGCTGTCAGCCTCCACCCCAAGCCCCGCCTTGCTTCCAGCATTTATAATGGTGTTAAATGTATAAAAAAGTGTTTTTAATTTATGGGGGGCGGGGGAGGCGCACTTAGAGGCTTGCTATGTGAAAGGGGTCACCACTACAGAGGTTTGAGAACCACTGCCTTAATTGCTTTTGATTTCAGCTTAGTGAGCACATCAGAGAGAGTATTTTCTTCATTTGAACTACTTCATTCAAAGTTGACAAACCGTTTGGGAGTTAAAATAGCAGGCAAGATTTTCTTCCAGTCTATAAACTATAACCAGGTGGGAGAGGATGAGAGCTAATTCTAAAAACTTAGAGGACATGGGACCAAATTTTCAAAGGTATTTAGGCACTTAAGGTTGCAAAAAGATGCCTGGTGAGATTTTCAACTATCTGAATCTTGAGGTGCTGTTGAAAAATTCGACCGATAGTGATCTGAAGCAATATGGCAATTCATTAACTACATGTAGTAGTTCCTATGTTTAATAAATACGTTTTAAATACAAAAATGTTTTAATAAACTTATTTGTTTCTTATGTATGCAGCCCTTTAAGGTAGCTTTGTTTGTTCTAGTTAAATAATCTTAATGCTTTTTTGGCTTTTTAATTGGATTCCAGTTTCCATTCAGAAGCAGTTTGACACACGAGTAAAAAGTATCTAGTAAATTAATGTCATTCACCATTTTCTAACATAATAAAAACAAGTAAAAAATGAAGAAGCTGAACAAATATATGTTTAGCTATATAATTGCTGAAATACTGTGCATAGATAAAGTGTATTGTCCTGGTAAGCAAAAAGTACAAAATTTAGGGTAACGTCTATATTTAGTATCAAATTAACATATTTTAGTTGTTATACCAGTCTGCTATACGGAATCTTACTTTAGGAAAATAACTAAAGAATACAAATGCAAAACCAGTATAGATCAATTATTTAAACAAAGGTTTCCAGCTTGGTAATTTAAAACAGTGATTTAAATAATTTTGATTTAAATCAATCCTCCCTGACCATGATTTTTAGACAAGTGTATACTAGTGCCTTATTGCATACTAGTGATGACCCGTGTCTTTGCCACTCAAACGTATGGTTTTACGGTAAATATGAGTGAGGGTGAGTGAGTGTGTGATGTGCTGGGAGATTTTGTGTTGATTTGTGCTTGTGGCAAATGAGGCGCGTCTTTCGCTATCTGCATTTGGGGTTCTTGTGTGTGCTGGTTGTGTGATTGGTTTTGAAGAACTATGGCAGTTGAGCCAAGTAATCCACCATTTGTGCATTCCCCCTTACACAATCAATGAAACTGTTGCATGTATATTAGCTGTGGAGTTACTTCTCAAAGCTTCTCAACCTTCTTTTACCCAGGGGCCCCCTAAACTTAAATAGTCAAACCTGCGGACCTCCAACCAGAGGTGATGCATGGGGAGGGGTCATGTGAGGTCACATGCTCCCCCCGATTTTTGCCTTCTATTGGGCTCTGCTCCCTGAAGTGCTGATGTAGCAGGGCAGAGCAGTGGTATGTCTCCTTGGCTAGCTGCTGTCTGCTTGTGGAGTCAGTGGCTGGCTGAGAGGTAACTTCTTCTGAAGACAGGGGGAGATCTCTCTTCTGCAGTGACACTGCAAGTTTTGGTAGTGCTCCCTCCCTCACCTAGCCCAGACAGGCTGGGTGGCCCACTGAAGTGAGTCAAGCGATGGAGGGGGTGCGGCACTCAGGGCTGAAGCCCGGTTTATTTTGGCAGAACCCTCGAAACTGGCTCGCGGACTCCCAGGGAGCTATGGAACCCCGGTTGAGAACCAGTGGTCTAGGACTCTTGGCATGGCTTAGTTACATGCCTTAGGGCTAGTCTACGCTGGCAATGCTAACGAGCTGCCGCGGCAACGCTTTAACGTGCCTTGTGTGGTTGTGATGCTGGGCTGGGAGAGAGCTCTCCCAGGGCTCTAAAAAACCCACCTCCATGAGGGGCGTAGCTCCCAGCACTGGTGCACTGTCTACACTGGCGCTTTACAGCACTGAAACTTGCTGCCCTCAGGGGGATGTTTTTTCACCCCCCTGAGCGAGAAAGCTGCAGTGCTGTAAATTGCTAGTGTAGACAAGCCCTTACTGTAGCAGTATACTCCACAGGTGTAGTTCATAAATTCTCAGCCATTTTGACTTTAAAAATTGGGTGCTAAAAGGATGCATATTACAGTGATGATTGAATCTGGTGATATTCTGAACAAAATGAGCACTCAATCATGCTTTTAGCTGTTTTTGTCACTTCATGTTGACTCTACAGACCTGCTAGGCCTTAGAGCAAGGGTAGTGAATTAATTTTTTGTCAAGGTCCAAATTTCTTGATAAAGGTGTAGTCAAGGTCCAGACTCCAGAGAAGAAAATACAAAAAATTAACAATTATGATAGTAAGTAAATAAAAAGATTTTGGGATCACTTCCAAAGCATCTGGCAGTCTGGATTTGGCTTGCAGTCTGCCTACTGACTACCCCTACCTTAGAGTGACACATAGGTCAGCAATCCTGGAATCTTATTGTATAGATAAGCGGTAGTTGTGCGTAAATAGATGATAAAGATTAACAGACTTTTATGGTGATATCAGTTTTTCTGTTAGGTTCATGATGAACTAATGCAGGGTAGACATGTTTGTGTCACTGAAGAATTGCTTGATGAAAAGATCATTTGTGGAAGCTGGCAGAACTATGATACACAGAGGGATGCTTGTTCTGTTTCTCTATGCTGTTGGTGGGGGAACCTAATATTTATATAATGCCAAACAAGCATTAATTCCCTTTGGGGTAAGGGAATATTCTTTCCATTCAACAGATGAGAAAGCAGAGGCACAAAGAGATTGAAGCCAACACTTTCAAATATGGACCACTTACTTAGCTGTATGACTTTGAGGTGTTGAGTACATGTTGACTTAATAGGAGATCTGGGTGCTCTGTATTTCTGAAAATGAGACCACTTACTAGGATAATAATTACTATTGTGAATGTACTGTATGCTTTGACTTGCTAAACATATTTGATTATAAAGTTGCTTTTGAAACAAAATATAAACATATTGATTCTGCAAAAATATAGTAAACTAATTTTACTGTTGTAAAATGTGATCTTGCTGATATTAAGGTATGCTCAAAATTTGATATCTCAGTAAGAAACATCTATCTATATATCTATATCTATATATAATTTTAAAGAAAACTACCTGATGCACCAGATCTCCTCAGAGTGCTCTCTGTACCAGGTTTAGTGTTGCTATTGTTCATAAAAGATCAGTAGGACTACCAAGAAAAGTGTCAGCCGGTGTCCAAGTTAATTCTTCCCAGTAAAAACAAATTATGATGAGAAATCAAATAAAGATAGCACAGAAAATTAAAAGGATACAGAAACTAGCCCACTGTGCAATTTTGTACAGATTGGCCATCTATGTCTAGAGAAAAACAGGCATTTATGATCCATTCTAAGCCCTTTTCAGAGTACAACCCTAACAATAGAGTCGCTACCAGGAACCTCCATAATGTAATGTGATGTTATATCGGTGAGCTTCCATGCTGGCTTTGCAGCAGAATTTGACTAGCGAATATTATTAATAGAGGTCTGCACGTTCTTCTCAGAAATCTGGTGCACACAATCATCTGGTGCACCAAATTAATTCTGGTGGCCTCTTTTAGGTTTTCATAACTATACATGGAGTAATGTCCAAGCATAATTTGTATTTGCAATCACTGCAGTTTTACTTGCAATTCTTTTTGCACATGTAGGTGGCCAGTTATACATCTTGCTGGTTCTCTGTTTACTACAAATGCATGTATAAGTATGTGTGTCTGGCCACTGTTGTTGTTTGTTATTTTTATTTGTAAATGATAGGACAAAACTTGTTCTTGAAATATTGGGAACTGTTTTCTTGAAAATATCCGTTTTTCGTCAGCTCCCTTTCGTAAAGGGAAATGGAAGAGAGTTTAAATATCCACTTTTGAACATTAGTAGTGCAGTATAAATTTAATATTAAATATTTTATAGAAAATAATGTGACAGTTCTGTTATTGCTACATTAATAGTAGATTTTCCATGGTAACTTTTTATTTTTGTATGGGGAAAATACAGGCTTCATACTTCTGCTGTTTGTAAGTTAGTGTCTTAACTTATACTTTTTCTTAATTTTTCAGATATTGTGGATGGAACTGACCTGAAGCAATTTTTTGAGATCAACTATTCTCAAATTTATTTTATCTTCTATGAAAATTTCATAACACTGGAAAATAGCTTGAAACAAAAAGGTAATCTGTCCTGTCCTACAGTTTTGCCGTGATTTTTTCATAAACCTCACGTGTTCTTAACCAGTTTTAAAAGCATTCCAATAAACACACACTCTAATTGGTACGTCTTCCATACCTTGCTGAATTCATAATGCTTTCATAGTTCCATACATTATAATATTTTATGTACCCTTAGCATCAATACTGTTACATTTTAAGTTTTCAGGTACTTAAGCTTCATTTTGTAAACTCAAGCCAGAAAAAGTAACTTGTTAAAGCAATTTATGAGCATTCCCTTCAACTTCTGATTTTTTTTCTAAGAATTTGGATTTATAAATCTTAAACAAAGGAAAGCTGCTTAGAACGATCAATAGAAGGTGTTACAGGTACATGCAAAAATCATTACCTAGAACAGGGGTGGGCAAACTTTTTGGCCCGAGGGCCACATCTGGGTGGGGAAATTGCATGCAGGGCCATGAATGTAGGGCTGGGGCAGGAGGTTGGGGTGCGGGAGGGAGTGCAGGGTGTTGGAGGGAGTGCGGTGTGCAGAAAGGGGCTCAGGGCAAGGGGTTGGGCTGCAGGAGGGGTGCAGGGTATACGAGGGGGCTCAGGGCAGGGGGTTGGGGTGTGGGAGGGGGCTGAGGGCAAGGAGTTGGGGGCTCAAGGCAAGGGGTTGGGGTGCAGGAGGGGTGCGAGTATGGCGGGGGCTTAGGGCAGGGGGTTGGGGTGCAGGAGTGCAGGAGGGGTTTGGGGTGCGGGCTTTGGCCTGGCACAGCTTACCTTGAGTGGCTCCTGGTGGCAGGGGGGCGCAGGTGGGCTCAAGCAGGCCCCCCCGCCCGCCCCGGCCCCGCGACGCTCCCCCGAGCGG